CGATATAATAGGCCAATATTCGGTATTTTCGGCAATATCGTTATTGGCCAATATAGATACCGATATTGCCGATAATGCCTCCTAGGACCGCCAGGCTCATTACAAGCCCGGCGGTCCAGCAGGTGGCGTTTACTTACCTCCCCTGCAGCTCCTCCAGCTCCCAGTGTAAATCTCGCGAGACCCGCGGCCGTCAGACACTAAGGGCCGCGAGATTTACACTGGGAGCTGGAGGAGCTGCAGGGTAGGTAAGTAAACGCTACCTGCGGGCCCCCCCCAGCTCAGCCAATGCCACTGGACCAGGGACTGTCATATCCCCCCTCCCTGACCAGGTAACAAGCAGGGAGGGGGGACAACAAAATTAATAAAATATAACTATTAAAAAAAAGCATTAAAAAATAAATATTAAAAATTAAAATAAACAAATATAGAAAATTTAAATAAACATAAATATTAAAAAATAAAACAAACATTAAAAATTAAAATAAAAAAATGCCTCCCCCCACCCCATTTTACACAAATCACATCCCTTCAGGAAAACACACACACACACACACTGCATTATATACACACACACTACACACTCTGTATATAATGCAGAGTGTGTATATAGTGTAGGGGGTCTATATAATTTAGTGTGTGTGTGTGTATATAATGTAGTGTGTGTTTAATGCACACACTACACACACTGCATTATATACACACACACACTGCATTATATACACACAAACACTGCATTATATACACACACACACACATACTACAAACACTGCATTATATACACACACATACTACAAACACTGCATTATATACACACACACTACACACTCTGTATATAACCCAGAGTGTGTATATAGTGTAGTGTGTCTATATAATTTAGTGTGTGTGTGTGTGTATATAATGTAGTGTGTGTGTGTGTTTAATGCACACACTACACACACTGCATTATATACACATAAACACTGCATTATATACACACACTACAAACACTGCATTATATATACACACACACTACAAACACTGCATCATATATACACACACACTACAAACACTGCATCATATATACACAGACACACTACAAACACTACATTGTATACACACACCACACACTGTTGGCATTATATACACACACTACACAAACACTACACACACTGCATTCACTATACACACACTACACACACACACTGCATTCCCTTTATACACCACACACTACACAAACACACACTCTGCATTCATTATATACACACTACAGAGTCACTGCATTAACTATACACACTACACAAACACACTCTGCATTCATTATATATACACTACACAAATATACACAGCTCCACTGTCTAAACACACTGCATCCAGTGCATGTGGCTTTTATATTTTGTGCATTTACCTTTTAGAAATAGTTTATTTTTTCAAAATGGTAAATGTACAGAATATCGGCAAGTTATCGGCTATCGGCCTGAAAGTTAACAGATTATCGGTATCGGCTCTAAAAAAATCAATATCGGTCGATCCCTAGTACACAACGATCAAGTGGGCTTCACCAGGGGGGCGACAGGGAGCGGATGGAACTAGGAAGGTGCTGGATCTAATGCACAGCCTCCGGGGAGGGGGTGGCAGCATATTCCTGTCTTTGGACGAAGAAAAAGCGTTTGATAGGCTCAACTGGCCCTTCCTCCTCGGGGTGCTACACAAATTCTGCTTCCCAACAATTCTTAAACGCAGTAAAAACACTCTACAGTAACCCCGCTGCGAAGGTCAATACAGTTAGGTTTCTTTCTCAATCATTCAACATAACCAATGGGTCGAGACAGGGCTGCCCCCTATCCCTCTTATTGTATATTTTAGCACTGGAACCACTCACCGCCCTGATCCGAAATAATCCACGGATACAAGGCATAAAAATCCACAAAAATTAATATAAACTTACGTTGTTTGCTGACGACATTCTCCTTACCCTGACAGACCCCAAAATCTCGCTACAGGAAATCACATCAACGCTAGAAGACTATAGTAAACACTCATATTATAAATTGAATGTGGCTAAGACGCAAGCCATGGGCATTAACCTCACTAACGCAGATACAAAAGCCCTAAAATCTGAATTTAAATATGACTGGCGTACGGACCAACTCACTTTCCTAGGGATAAAATTCACGCAATCAGTGCAAAAACTTTTCAAGGCCAACTATACAACACTACAGACACAAGTTCAATCACTTCTCCAGGGATGGCACAAAAAATACATTTCCTGGACAGGCCGGGTGGCTGCAATAAAAATGGTAGTCCTACCAAAATACCAATACCTCTTTCGGACATTACCAATCCGAATACCACAATCCTACTGCACAGAAAATCAACATATACTGAACAAATTCATATGGGCAGATAAGAGACCAAGACTAGCCAATTCAACAATGTACAGACACCACAAGAAAAGAGGCATGAGCCTTCCCAGTATACGCCAATACTACCACGCGGCAAATATTAACCCTATAGTTATAGCACAAACACAAGAAAATAAACCACAGTGGGTGACGTTAGAATCAGCAGCCACTCCGGGACATCATTTCTTATCACTTATGTGGATCCCACACCACAGCAAACCCAAAAACCTAAAGATGTTACCCATGATCCCTCTAACAAAACACATCTGGGACACCCTTAGAGCGAAACTATGTATGACACGAAAAAGAACAGAGAAAACTTTGGATTTAGGTAGATATTTTGTATCACCCAGATCCCTAGTTTCTCACGAGTGTAGCGCTGAATATAGAAAATATAAAGTGGAATTTTCAGTGAAGGAATAGTGCTAAAACACGCACTTACCCTATATATTGTGCTTTAGTTTTCTTAATGGAATACCAAGAAAAAAGAACATAAAAAATACAGATAATAGTGTAGTATTTTGAATGAATATTGCATAAAGTCCTTTAGTTATGAATGATAAGTTGAAATAAACTCAAATTTTTTAGAGCCTTTTACAGTTATAAGGCTCTAAACTTCCAGGTGTCTGTGTCTTTTTTTGGGGTAGATCACACGACCCGTCTCTCAAGGTGAAAAAGAGCGTAAATTGCTAAGTGTAGTGGCACAATTGAAGTGAATCAATATGTGCAGAAGCGTATGTGCCTCTAAATAGGCTAATATTGAAGTCTCCTGTTGAAGTCTTTGTATCCAGACGAAACGCATTGAGCACCTTGAGCACCTTGCGAACCCCAAAAGGATCACAGCGGCTGGAAGTTGAATACACTGGGACTGTTTACATCCCACTGACGGTTAGTGAAGAGAGACTGTTTAAGCTCCACATCACCATCTAAGACTGCTGGATCCGGGGGTATTAGCCTATTTAGAGGCACATACGCTTCTGCACATATTGATTCACTTCAATTGTGCCACTACACTTAGGAATTTACGCTCTTTTTCACCTTGAGAGACGGGTCGTGTGATCTACCCCAAAAAAAGACACAGACACCTGGAAGTTTAGAGCCTTATAACTGTAAAAGGCTCTAAAAAATGTGAGTTTATTTCAACTTATCATTCATAACTAAAGGACTTTATGCAATATTCATTCAATATACTACACTATTATCTGTATTTTTTATGTTCTTTTTTCTTGGTATACCATTAAGAAAACTAAAGCACAATATATAGGGTAAGTGCGTGTTTTAGCACTATTCCTTCACTGAAAATTCCACTTTATATTTTCTATATTCAGCGCTACACTCATGAGAAACTAGGGATCTGGGTGATACAAAATATCTACCTAAATCCAAAGTTTTCTCTGTTCTTTTTGGTGTTTATTTATGTATGGTGGGCTATAAGGAGTACCCACGGAGTGTATATAGCAGCTAAAATCACAAATTCACAAATTATATAGCGCCACTATTCCACATCTTTTTGTGTGTTCAAATTCTATGTATGACACGAGCTTACTCACCAGCAATGACGATCACCACATTACAGTCGCTGATCCCAAACTTCAACTCCCATATGTGGGAAAAACACCACATATACCACTTTGCACAAATTGTACAAGGGAAAAATATCAAAACCTTCCAAGATTTACAAAAACAATATAGCTTACCAAACACAGCTGAATATGCATATCTGCAAATAAGAGCAAGGCTCCTAAAACATTACCTGCCAGAAATAAAACTTGTAAATGAGCAACGGCTGACGAGCTTCGAACGATCACTAACAGCAAAAATGCCAAACAAAAAATCATTCTCCCTGATATACGACTGCCTAAACTCAGGAGCACATAGCAAAAGCCTAACTTTTGTGCAAAACTGGGAGAAGGACCTAAAACTCACCTATCCAGACATAGAATGGGAAAAACTATTTACCACTCAAAAAAAATACACGTTATGCTCTTCACACATAGAACTGACCAAAAAGATTTTGTACAGATGGTACTTGGTCCCAACAAAATTACATAAAATGTTCCCCGCAGTATCAGATCGCTGCTGGAGATGTCTGGAAGCTAAAGGCGACATGCTCCACATTTGGTGGACCTGCCCACAATTATCCACCTATTGGAAAGAAGTAGCTAAGCTAGTATCTATCAACAGTAACGGATATGAAACTCCCCAAAGCCCCAGAAATATACCTCCTTCATAAATACCCCCCCGCAACTACACCAACCACGGCATATCTCACCTACCAGATCACTATAGTAGCACTAACGCTAATCAGTAGGGCATGGAGATCCACAATGGCCCAACAATTCACGAATGCACTCGACAAATAGAACAAAATAAGACATACGAATGCGCAAGCAGAAAGGCGGCCAACCAAAAAAACAAGATAAGGAAAATTGCCTGGGAAAACTGGAACACAGCCATAGAAACCCTAAGAATTAACACACAAAATTTCTAAACTGTCGAAGACTCGACAGCCGTGCTCATAGCATGAACCAAATAAATAGAATTGTGAGGAAAAAAACAACAATGTACAACGCACAATGTATCAAGTATATCGCACAAAAGTATAGAAAAGCAGGCCCCATTTACTCTGGCAATAAACTAGGGGAAAGCGTCCAACAAAGAAGAAATAATAGACCCCCCCATGGCACGGCATGGCTCACTTTCCCACCCGTTCCTCCCCCCCATCCCTATTGTTGAGTTTGTTAGTTGTAGTTATGAGAAAACTTCACAGCATGTGAGAACTATAACAGAAGGCCATGAGTGCCTTATATACATATGGTAGGGTAGACACAATGTGACAAACAATGATTAAATGCTGTAATGTTGTAACCACCAATGCATGGAATGTTCTTAACTGCACCTAATGACATCCTACCACAGGAATATCCAAACTGTACAATGTATTTTTACACATGTATGTGAATAAAAATTACTTTAATAAAAAAAAAAAAAAAATTTAAATCCTTATATTTCCTACTTTAATAAAGAACCTTGCATGTGTACCCTAATTAGTGTGTAAGGGTTCATAAGGATACGTCTTCTGTCTCAGTAGTGATTTTGCCTTTTAGCTGAAAGTGGCAAGTGAACTGTTAGTGACTCTCCTAAGATGTTTGTGTGGCCATTGATAAGTGAGCTCATACTTTTAGTGGACCACTGCAGGCATATAACTTTATGTTGTGAGGAGGTCCATGGCACCAGCTTGTCAGAATAAGTTAAACCATTAACAAACCCTAAAGTCTTCAAACAGGTGCCCAATTGCTCTGCCTTTGAACTTCCGCTCAGTATCCAAGGCTTAAATCAGGAAGAGTCTTAGAATCTAATAGTACCTCCCTACTGAGAAAAGAGAGTGAAAAAGATATGTATCCATTTATGTGCCTCCCAAGAGTAATGGGAGTTAGAGTGCATGTCTCAATTCTGTTTTTGCTCAGCACACGTGAGCTGAAAAAAACAGTATGTAACAGGATCTCCCAATCCAAAGTATTTACTTACTAGCCCCAGAGCTCCAAACGTCAAGATGGCTCATCCCATTCATCTTTCTAGACAGTGTATTTATCATCGTTCAGTCTGGGAACAAAATACATAACCCAAGGGGGCCATCAGAAAGCAGTGAAGGGTATGTGTCTTGTACTGATTCCGAGTGACATCGAGCTACATATACAACTGGCATAAGCTACTGCTACCATAGCACATCATTTGTCTAATTTCTCACTGTTCTATAACCATCCATTACAGAGTTAGACAGCAGAGACACAAGCAGCATATTTTTATTCAATCCATATGGTTTTAAAAATAATTAACATGTTTAGAAAAGCAGCTGGCTGAATTTCTAAAATCAGTTAGTTGGCTAAAATATAGCTTCCAGTTTACACCATTTACATATGCCCTCTTTCATATTTCCATCAGGGAAATTGGTTTATTCACTAAGCAGTTATTTGTGATGATGTGGGGGGAAAAAAGCACATTTTAGACAAAAATGGAAAAACAGCATAACTGAAAAAGTTTCCCAGTGCATTTTGGTTTTCAGTTCATAACAATTCACTCTTTGCAGTTTGAAGGTAGTTTCCCAGCAATTCTGGGGACTAATAAAAACTACACCATGAGTACATTTTTAGAATTAAAATAAAAGGCATTTAAGCCCATACACATGCTACAGCAGTGTTCAGTGTATGGGAAGCCTTAATTGGCTGCCCTCCCAGTCACCTTATCATCCTGGCACCTATGTGTGGTGGAATGAATAACCCCCTTTTGTAGGAGGGCACATTGCCACTGATGCTAAACATGTCTCAGAGACTCCCAGTAACAGTCTGTGCCCTGCCTATCCATCCCCTCACCTAAGATCAGGCCTGGCAAAATTGACTGGTCTGATTACTGACAAAAGCCATTAAAGGACCACTGAATGCACCCCGACCACTTCATCTACATGTACTGGTCTGGATGTTTACCTTGAAAGGTTAAGTAAAAGTTTAGTGGCATTACAGGCTGTCATACTGAAACTCAGTCATGTGACATACATCTTCCACGAGGACATCGAATGTCGTCAAATACTGGTCCATAGGAGAAGGATTGAACTGGATGTGCGCATGGCACTTGGTGTGCATCACACCCGCAATCCAACTCTCTGAGGAGCATTAGATTTCATAAGAAGCCACGAAGACACGCCTCCACACTGACAAAATGAAATTGGCATAATACAGATTAAAGAACAGCACACACATACAAATACATGTCTAAATTCTATAAGGTTACTTAAAATCACCTAAGCAAACAAATATGGGGATTCAGTTCCACCATACGGCCATATTGTGTTAAGCCCACCGCTACTTCACAGTACCCCATTATCAGTGGATCCAACACTAATTCTAAGAAGGGAGAAACAATGAAATAGTACTAGTACTAAATAAGCTAAAGTGTATTTAAATAATCTGGTGTAAGAGCATTGTGAATATATATAATGCAAAATTTATTTGATAAACGCAATTCAAAAAAATGCAGTGTCAAAACAAAACAATTAAAGTGACAGTGCTTTGATATATATACTTACAATGTATATTATATATCTACTCTATGAAAATTATAATAAAAGTAATTGGCAGGCACATCTAGAACATGCATTTCACAACAGTGGTGCTGCTGTAAAGACCAACATGTATACAAGATACAGATTTAAAGGACACTATAGGCACCCAGACCATTTTAGCTTATTGAAGTGGTCTTGGCGCAATGACCCTGTTCCCTTAAACCTGCAATTGTATTTATTGCAGTTATTGAGAAACTGTAATAATTACCCTGCAGAGTTAGCTCTACCTCGAGTGGCTACCAGACAGCCACTAGAGTGGGCTTTTGGTTTGCTAAATGACACTGGGCTTTGCATGAGGACATCCAGTGTCAGCTAAGTCCTAATGAGATCACGGCACTTAACGCGCATGTGAATTAGGACTCCTCGCCGACTGACATCTGTGGAGGAGGAGCCTGACGCAGCGCCGATGGACGTCAGCTCTGGAATTAGGTAAGTGACAAAAAAGTTTTTAACCTTTTCAGCGCTGCAAGGGAAGGGGGGCGTAGGGTAGTATAATGCTAGGAATACAACTAGTTTCACTTTAAGGAACAGTGCACACAAATTTTTTATATATATAAATATATATACAGTTTTTAAATTTTATGAAGCTACTTAAAATCAGCTATCGTATTAAACTATGCACGAATTGTTCTTTCAGTTTTTTTTAACTTCACAATAACATTGCAGGCTGAGGGAGTCTCAGCTCTGAAAAAACGTGAGTAAAATACTTTTTATTGGACTAGCGCACTATTACATTAGGAATACAGGTTTCCCAACTCTATAGTGTTCCTTTAATATAACATCAGTTGAAAAGTCTACATTTGATAGAATGTCTAATACAATAACTTCAAAAAGAAATAAATAGACTTTATTTGGTACAATGCCATTTCTTATCTATCGTGTGTCGTGTTCCTTTAAATCTTTTAAACTATCAGAAAAGAACAGAAGAAGGATGGGGTGAATCATCAATGACATTAATATAACATTTTCAAAGCAGAAAAGTTGAACTTCAGGTGCTTAGAGCCATTTTAATCTGTTATTCACATGGAAACTATAGAAATGATGGCATGTTATGCTAAACGTTGTTAGAAAAATAATTGTTATGTTTCTAAATGGACAAGCAGTGGATGAAGAGATGCAAAGTGATTAGGTGTCAGCCCATATTTGACCAGTAATAATGTAACCAAATATTGCAACAGACCTTGAAATGCAATTTATAATGGTTTATGAATTTATGAATTTTCTGTTACAGCTAAACCTCATTCCACATCTCCCGATGCTGCCGTTGATGTGATTCCCCCCGCCCCCCCGTTTTGTTTCCTGTTCTGACACAGAAGCATCATATCTGCCATTTTCTGTGAACCTCTAAGATTGCTGTCTCTTTCTGTGTTTCCACCTCAATGCTTTTTAAACCACTGGAGCCTTTCAGGAATGAAAGGAACTCAACCTGTCTTTCCAAAGAGGGTAAGAGGCTGTGGGGGTCACTGCAATGTTAACCTTGCCACGTTCCGACCTAATAACTAACTGCCATATTACAGGAGTGGATGCTGGAGCAGTATTGCCATTTAAAGGTGAAATATTTATGTTTGATGCTTCAATGGTTCCGCTTAAGAAAAAGAAAAGTGCATATGATAGCAATACAGTTACTTAAGGCACCCGGGAATTAGCTCTATAAAGAAGATAGAAAGGAGATATATAGGCATTTTTTTAGATCACTTACAGGCAACCATATTGGGTTTTTTTTCTGACTACACCCACATTGTGTTCCATTATACTTTTCATGAATGTTTGCATAGATACGCAGAATACATCCCAACTACACACATTAGTATTTCGCTATGCTATAAAGTGTCCTACGTTGAACTTTGAAGCTGTCTCATTTGTAGAACCACGGATAATCCTTACTGACAATATTTCCTCAACCATAATGGATTTATATGCATAAAAAGATACTAAACTGTTAGTTCAAACTTGTGATTACAGAATAAGGCAATTTAGCCATTACACATTACATTTGTTGTAAGCCTATCTAATTTACGGTATTTTTTTAAAGGACCACTATAGGCACCCAGACCGCTTCAGCTCAATGAAGTGGTCTGGGTGCCAGGTCCCTCTAGTTTTAACCCTGCAGCTGAAAACATAGCACTTTCAGAGAAACTGCTATGTTTACACTGCATGGTTAATCCAGCCTCTAGTGGCTGTCTCAATGACAGCCACTAGAGGCCGCTTCCACGATTCTCACTGTGAAAATCACAGTGAGAAAATGCTGACGTCCATAGGAAAGCATTGAGTAATGCTTTCCTATGGGTGGTTTTAATGCGCATTCGACTCCACTTGAGAGCCAATGTCGGAGGGGGAGGAGAGGTCACGAGCGCAGAGGGAGCCCGGCGCTGGATAAAGGTAAGTGGCTGACGGGTTTTCCTGGCACTATAATGTTCCTTTAATGATCTTTTCGGTCGATATACATATATATATATATATATATATATATATATATATATATATATATAAATAAATAAATATATCAAATGTATGGTAAAACAGTAAAAAACTTAAATAGAAAATCCGCACTCAAAGTGACCGCAGCCCGCATCTTTCGGGACGACTCTGTATCTGAGGATATCCGCTGAACTGCCCAACTCGAGGCTCGCAGCCTAAACGTGTTGGAACCGAGGGGAGACGGCCGCTCTCCCGGTTCAGAGACTGAAGATACGGTCCCCACCTAATGCTGTCCCTCCCCCCCAACTTTGGACCGGCTGCGCTTACCGAGCATGGGCCCACGTGGTCGGCACCTGCCCGGGAGA